AACATATGTTGCAACTAATTTTAGCTTATGTTGTAACATTTTGTAAATTTGAAATCAATTGCTGTACCATCTTTAGTGTATACCATAATCTATAAAAGATATTGTGTCATCAATTTATTTTACATACTTTTTTTAATAATAAACTATTATCAATCAATCATTTGACATGCATGATAATTTATTTTTAGCTATAATACTTATAATCTTATATTTGAGAGGTTTTCTTAAAATGGTTACTATTAATATTTCTCGGTTTTTGGGCTTTTATACAATACATGTTATATATTAAATAATAAGATAATAATTTTTTCAGCATAAAGTACACCATAATCTTTGTAGAAACTTTTCAAATCGAAACCAAATCTTGTATAGAAGGTTTATGATTTAGTCAGATTTAGTTATGATTTTGTCTCAAAATAGTTATATAAATCGTCTGTAAGAATCTGATGCATATTAAAACCTGATTTTATCGGATCGTACAGAATTTGCAAAGAAGTATTTTTGATTATATTAAAGTAGTATTTTCGATTATACTTTAAAGTATTATTTTTGAATTCATATTAATGTTATCTTAAATAAATAGTAAAACTTTATTTAATGAGTTGTAAAATGTCTTACTTAAAATCGTAAATAAATCAATAAAATAAAGATATTGTAAAATGTTCTATTCTAAGTAGTTAATTAATATTATTTATTAAAAAGTTTTAAAAAAAATACAAATTTCGCATGTACAAACTATTGCTAGAATTGTGATCATATAATTCACATTCTTCGTCTTTACAACTGTGAACATAATACACTATGTTAATTGCATTCACTAAATTGATTGATAGAACCCTTCACCAAAATATACCACATATTTTTTTATTATGTTCAGCCGTTTGATAAATTTTATTATTTCTTTAAACATTAGAGTTACTTTTGTTATAAGTGGTAAAAATCTAGCAAATAGTTCTATTATGCCGCATACAGTTTCTATTAAACTGGTAAATACTGAATTCTCTAACTTTGGTTTTAAGTTTCCTTTAGTAATGATTGTTGGTATTGGTGAATAACTTTTACTTACGTTACTACCAATTTGAGGGTTCTACGTGACATAATAATAAGATATTTGAAAATAATTATGAAGACCATCTTTAATCTAGTTATTTATAATACACATTACCTGAAATAATTTATTAATAATAATTTTAAACTTTTTTTTTGAAAAAATATATAAATTAGCAAAAAAGCTTTTATTATCTTCAGTATACATTTTATATTCATTTTAATCATCTTTGGTTCCAATACTGGACTGAAAAGAATTGCCTAATTTATATATTTTTTTAGTACCAGATTTTTTATACCATTCATTTGATTTTATATCATCTTTTTTGACTCCAATACCAAATCGATAACAATAACCAAATTATATTGACCTTCAGTATATTCATTTTTAGCAGATTTAAAATACCATTTAAAAGCTTTTTTATCATCATTTTCTACTCCAATACTATTTACGTAACAATAACCTATATCATTTTGTCCTTTGGGATTTTCTTTTTCAGCAGATTTTAAACAGCAAATTGATAATGATAACCTAGATAATTTTGGCTTTCACTATTTCCCTTTTTAGAGGATTCTAAATACCATTTAAATGCTTTTTTATTATTTTTTCTTGTTCCAATGCCAAATTGATAACAATTTGCTAAGTAATATTGCCCAATTATACTTTTATTTTTTGCTGATTTTTGATAATAATTAAATGCTATATTGTAATTTTTTTCAGTTCCATATCCATCATAAAAGCATTTAGCAAAATAAACTTGTGCTATTGAACAATCATCTTTTGCGTTTGAAAATAATTCAAATGCTTTATTATGATTTTCTTTTACATCAATATTATTATAATAAAGCAATCCAAATAGCCATATATACTGTGATTTATTTTGATTTTTTGTTAAACATTCTATTAAGTTATTCATATTTTGATTTACTTCTAATATTTTTGAATGATATATTGTTTAATATTATCAAGCAAAATACCTTCATTATGTTTCTTAATTATACAAATAATTAAATCTTCAATAAATGAATTCAACTGAACAGATTTTTGATTTAAATTATCTATATTACCAATTTCTAAGCCACCAAGTTTGGAATCATAATTAACAGTTCTAAGTTTAGATTCATTACTATCACTTTCATCTTCATTAATTAATATATTACTCTGTTTGGGAGAAATTATTACTTCAAGAGTTAATACAACATTTTGTATATCTAGACGTTTATCTGGTTCATTTTTCCAACACTCTATTTATATATTTCAATAATAAAAATTAATTCGTATATTTTAAATAAATAAAATAAATATTCAATCACCTTCATATAAATTACTATATTTGATGGGAGTTTCTGGAATAATTTCTTCTCGTCCCTTGAGTTATACTTATATCATAATTTGCATCATCATAAAACGGTGAACGGCCACTTGATAATTGCCACAAAAGTACTCCAACACTATATACATCAGATTTTTTATTTAATGTGTAACATTTATCATTTAAAAGTTTTGGGTCGACATAAGGTATTGATGCCTTCTGTAATTTTCCTTGATAAACCAAAGACTGCTAATTTAATAATTTTCTGATGCACTAGTATGTTTTTGGCATGCTTTAATTTAAAAAGGTCGAATTAATTACATATTTAATAATAAAATTTAGAATTAGAAAATTTGTATTACCAAATCACGATGAATAATATTTTCATCATACAAACATTCTACAGCACTTGACAGTTGAAATGCCAACCGGAATTTGTCATTCCAATTAAGTTCACTGAAATGCTTATTTAAATAACCTTTCAATGTGTCATTATCTGCATATTCCAAGACTAAAGAGTATACATCTGAATAAAAAAGGATTTATTAAATTAAATTAAAAAAATAATATTCATGAAATTCAATCACAATATATGTCTTATACTAACTGGGTTCTTCCATTGCGATTCCAAATAACCGTATAATATTTTCATGATAATTAACATTCCGATGTAGTTTAAACTGTATTAAAATATATAAACAAATGTATTTAATGTAAATTTGTTATTATTAAAAAATTTATAGAATACTGCACCTCTTTAACAATTTCGTTAATTACTTCTTGATGATTTTTGAAAGATTTCAAAGCGAAACAACCTTTATTTTTCCAATTAGCACAATAAACATCGCCATACGCACCATTCCCTATAAGTTTTTTATCTTTGAAATCCGAGTATTCATAGCATTTGATATGTTCATTAGCAATTGCATCCTTTAACCAATCAATATTAGTATCTTTTGGCATTCCTTATTTTTTATTTGCAAAGTTGTAATTTTGTTGTGTTACATAAGCAAAGGTACGCCGAATATTTATGTATATGTACGTTTTTAAGGTAACGTCACACTAGGGTGTTAATAAAATTAGGATCCTTATGATGATCATTTAGTGCGGATTTTTTAACGGTCGGGTCGGGTCGGGTTTGAAGCATATTCGCACTCGAACCCGTTAATATTTACAGGACCCGAATTCGACTCGACCCGATCATTGTTCGACCCGACCCGACCTATTATTGTTTAACTCGGATTCGACCCGAATTTTTAAGAGTAATATTTATACAGAAAAAAAATTTTTATTTATACGGATAATGAAAAGTACATTAAATTTGAAAGTTTATTGTTTTGAAGTTCATTAATTTAAATTTATTTTTTTGAATATATTATTTTCAGGAATTGGAACACATACACGCTCGAATTGTATCGGCTTTTAGACACATTTAAACTCGTTCAACATGGACATTCGTTGCTTTATTAAAATAATTTCATTATTATTTGGATTATGATCCTCTAAATAACACCAAATATTTGTTGTATTAAATCACCAATATTGCGTCGCCATTTTGTCCTATATATCTCTTAAAAATAATAATAATAATAATAAATACTCTATTAAAATACATAAGAACAGTTGACATCTAATTTCACTAACTTCACGATATATTTGAATTTTATTTAAAAGTTCTTTGGCAAAAAAGCTCATTTCACAATGTTTTTCGTTTTACAAGAGAACTATGTTGTCGGAATTAGTAAGTTGATAGTTTTGCTCATTATTTAAATTGTAGTCATTTATATTAAATCACATCACCAGATCGTTCGGGTCATCCGGGTCAAGCAAATTCGTGACCCTAACCCGACGGGTTTTAAGAAATTAGGACTCGTGACATAAAATGATAGTCCCG